ACAAATAAATCATATTGTGGATAAACATAACAGCTTAGTACACACAATATGTTAACACAGTCACCTGATTCCCACAATATGCTGAACCACAAACTCTCCTATTCTATTTTAGTTCACCACACCATATTGTATGAACCCAGCCAAAATGCTACTTCGTCTTTACCAACCTTTGAAACTCATTATTGCAAGATATGCCAGTAACATCCTTTGAAAAAACAGGTAGCTGGTTAAACTGTAAGGAACAGAATGCTACCATATATATATGGTAATTGCAAGATATGCCAGTAACATCCTTTGAAAAAACAGGTAGCTGGTTAAACTGTAAGGAACAGAATGCTGGCTTAGATATAATCTGGTTTTAATTCTAATTGCAAATTGTAGTATTTTTTAAAAGATCACCTAAAACAAAAAAAATCTTTTATTATATATTTATTTAGAGGGAGGAGCAAAATGTTCTCAGAAAATTACGCCAAATGCTTGAAGAGAAACTGCTTGCACTTGTTGATGCAAACACACCAAAGGCCACTTTCATGCACAACCACCCACTTCCAGGATTCAAAAGCTGCATCCTAGGGAGACACAAGGCAGCACATATCAGCCTTGCCTTCTCCAGTGTTGGGCAGGGAAGTCTAAACAGAAATTGTAATCCTGTTTGACTGAATATGTTTCCAATGCTTCACTTAATCCAGAACCCTGATTATGCAATCAGCAGTAGAGGTTCAGCTCACCGGCTGATCACTAGCAATGGATGTTCCATATCCAGATGGCTCCCCAGGGGCCCAGTTCACATACTTGACAGCTTCAGGTTCTATCCAGAGAAATTCTTTCTTGGAATCATGGAGGCCAATCCATATATCAACAGTTACGCTTGGGAGAAGAGTTGTTATAAAAGCTGCAGGAAAGAAGAAGGGAATGGAAAGTGCGTGGCATATGGTCAGAGAAAAAGCAGTGAAGATGATGCTGGTTTGTTTTTCTAGGTGGAGCTAGGAACTGAAAAGATGAATTCCACTTTCTCCTCTATAGGCATTTCCCCATTGCCCATGGCATAAAATTTGCTGTCTTCCCCTGGCTCTGTTGCTTCTGTTTCACTGCAATTCCTGATCAATATTCAAAGTAAAGGATGATAAAGGGTAACAGATTTTATACATCATGAGGATCCATAGCCTTGGATCACCATAATACAAAAAGGTTTGCCTTGGACTGAAATGGTACTTTTTGGCAGACTTCAGCACTTTTGTTAATAATGTGACTACTACAATTATTCTAGGATTTTTTTGTCTACAGTAGACAATCTGTTACTTTAGTTATTCAATGGCTAAAACATACACAGTATTTACATTTTCAGAGTCTTCTATTCTTTATTATTTCTTCACATATTCCTGGCATGAATGCTACAAAATAAGTTCTCCTATATCAAAGGACACATCTGTTCTAAGCAAAATTCAGAACATTTTGGGGATAGGACAGATGGCCATACCAAAGGTTACTAACTATGATGCTGAGGGGCAAAAAAAGAGTCAGAAAGTTGGCTATCATACATTGGTTTAAAAAGCTACTACCTTTTCCTTTCTGTGAACTGTTTCTTATGCAGTAAGATATCTTACTATTCAGGAAAACTGAAATTCCAAACCAAAATTCAAAAAATTTCCAGAGGAACAGCCTTTAACAAAAAAAAAAAAAAAAAAAGCTTGCATTTTTGTTACAGTTATTACTGAAACCCATATTATTTGTTTCAGCAGAGGCGTCTGCAACATTAAAGATTTTCACCAAAATGAGGAAGGCAGTATTGTGCAATTGCAACACAAGTTCCCCCCTTTTGGTATCTATATGCAA